CTGGTTGCGCTAATGTCTTTTATTTCCACATATAGGGTAACTCAGCGAACTTGAATATACAAGTTTAATGTTAAACGTTGCTCTAAAGTTTGTGTAACTGATATCTACCTGGTGTGCTCATGTGGCCAGTATTAGATCAGATAGAGAAAAAAATATAACACCTTCATTATGAACTAGCAGCTCATACCCAAACAGAAGAATAAAAGTCTGTACAAATTGATTGATGCTGTATGCCAAAAAATAGGTTTTAAAATGCTCATAAATATTAGATAACTTAAACATGCAATATACTGGAGTAATACTACTCAGATAACATTTTGGTTATTTTACCTTGATATTTGAAAACAATTGTTAAATACATAAATATTAGATTTACAATTGTACTTTTTTGTTTTTCCACAAAGTCAGCTAATGAATATTATAATGAGCTGCTTAGAAATCTGTGACGGCAATGAGAGAAACTTTTTCCCGCGAAAAACAAATGCAATTGAGTTTACATGTAAATCCTCGTTTGATTGCTGTAAGTTTTACCTCTTCAAATGTGCAAGTACATGTAATCAGTAAATTATTGACGGATTTTTATTGAAAGTCAAATTGGCATTTATTGCGCCTTCTAAGCGATTGAAATATTAAATTTCTGTTCATAATGAGTAAATAATTTGAAGAGAATTACTCCGGTCAGTTTTCAATCATGATAGGAACTGGATGTGAACAGGTGAAATTATCATAATCATCAGTTCACTAACATTATAACATGTCTCTCATGCATATAAATATATAGATAGACAATCTATTTTAAGTTAATCTTCAGTTGTCATTTGATGAATGACCTGTTCAAATGAAAAACATTTGCTTTTTTAAAATCATTGACTTCACTACTTCAATGATTCAATCAACTAAACGATTACTTCCTATTTATTTCTGCAAGTCATATCAGATCATATCTTGAAAATACCATACTTGAAAACATCGGGATATATAGAGATTATCCTATGTGAGGTTCAGGATATTACGGTCCTCTGGCAGATATATTATATTGGCCAAGGGATAATCCAAATATCCTGAACCGACTATAGGATGATTTGTTTATCCCATACCAATCACATTGTTCAATTGGCCAAAGTTCAGAAACTTTGCAACCAACCGTAGAATTATTTTAAAATGTCCAGTTTTGTATTCTTGTTTCTTTTCCTGTTCAAATCTTTGATTATTAATGGAGTATACTGCTCCTTCCCTTCTTTAACGCATCAAACAGATCGCAATTGTCTGCGTTTTTCTCCATTGTGGTTTACAGTATGCGAACGTTACAAAAAGGAACCAATACGGGAACAGTGTGATTATGACGTAGCGGGCAGATATACTATATCTGACCGCTCAGAGCGGGACGTAAAGCCATATCTGCTCGCTGATGAAAATATAAGTTTTTACAAACCGGCGTTATGTACCCGTAACACGTCCAAGTATGGGATAAAGAATTGATATCTTGGAGGAGCGTGACATATATAGATATTATCCTATATGAGGTTCAGGATATTGGGATTATCCCGAGGTAAATATAATATATCTGTCCGAGGGCCGCAGCTAGCTCCAGAGGGAAAATATATTATATTGGCCAAGGATAATCCCAATATCCTGAACCGACTATAGGATAATATGTTTATCCCATACCAATCTTGGTCATCTGGTTCACATTGTTCAATCGTGGAAATATTTAGAATATTCATGTCCAGTTTATATAGTGATATATTATATCTGCCCGCTACGTTATAATCGCCGCTCGCACATTTGTTCATAATTTGTAACGTTCGTGTAATGGCTGTAAACGACAATGGAGAAAACACAGACAATCAGGATCTGTTTGATGATTTAAAAAAGGGAAGGTGCATCCACTTAATCAATCAAAAATTCGAGAAAATAAATGTGGGAATATCACAGCCAAGAAAACAAAACTGGACATGAATATTCTAAAATATTTCCACAGTTGAACAATGTGAACCAGATGACCAAGATTAGTATGGGATAAACATATTATCCTATAGTTGGTTCAGGATATTGGGATTATCCCGAGGCCAATATAATATATCTGTCCGAGGGCCGCAGCTAGCTCTAGAGGGAAAATATATTATATTGGCCAAGGATAATCCCAATATCCTGAACCGACTATAGGATAATATGATTATCCCATACCAATCTTGGTCATCTGGTTCACATTGTTCAATCGTGGAAATATTTAGAATATTCATGTCCAGTTTTGTTTTCTTGGCCGTGGGTGGATTTTCCTGTTCTTTCAAATATTCCCACATCTATTTTCTCGAATTTTTGATTGATTAAGTGGATGCTCCTTCCCTTTTTTAAAACCTTCAAACAGATCCCGTAATATATACCTGTAACACATCCAAGTAAACATATTTATCCCATACTTGGTCGTGTTACAGGTACATAAAGCCGGTTTGTAAAAACTTATATTTTCATCAGCGGGCAGATATAGCTTTACGTCCCGCTCCGAGCGGGCAGATATAGTATATCTGCCCGCTACGTTATAATCGCCGCTCGCACATTTGTTCATAATTTGTAACGTTCGTGTAATGGCTGTAAACGACAATGGAGAAAACACAGACAATCAGGATCTGTTTGATGATTTAAAAAAGGGAAGGTGCATCCACTTAATCAATCAAAAATTCGAGAAAATAAATGTGGGAAGGGAATATCACGGCCAAGAAAACAAAACTGGACATGAATATTCTAAAATATTTCCACAGTTGAACAATGTGAACCAGATGACCAAGATTAGTATGGGATAAACATATTATTATCTTGGCCAATATAATATATCTTCCCTCGGGACCTGCGACCCTAGGGCAGATATATATTGGCCTCGGGATAATCCCAATATCCTGAACCTCATATAGGATAATCTCTATATATATTCCAATGTATATTTCCCGCTGTGTATCTCCCAATCCAAATATTCCCGGGAAAATGTTTTTTATTCAGTGTAGAAACAGTCAATTGAAATGAAATCAATGAAAAAAAACCTGGATATGCAGGGTGTCCTGAAAACTTCACTTGTAAAACCTCACTTTTCATAGGATAAATTAGTTATGTGATGATCGGTTTTGAATAATGATCACTGGGAAGATTTCAGAGAAAGAGCGTATATCATACAATGTTTATTGATGATATGTTGACATTGCTGATCATTATTGACTGATGGCGAATAAGTACCAAAAAGGTAACGCTTTGTGCGAATGTTATGTGAATTTCTGATGGAATTTCTTACTACGACATAACATTTAACAGGATATTGTATGACCACTATCAAATAATTTAACCGAGTCGTTTTTAACTTCTCAATTTACATTTTTTGTTTACAATCACATGAGACATGTGAGCCCGGGTATGTGAGGCTGATCTGAGAAGTCTTAATAAACAATAGCTCTGTCAAAAAAATGATTAAATTAAATTACATAAGATTCGGAATGAAAGTGCCCCGTCCATATTTCATATTTGACTAAAAATAATTAGTGCATTGGGCAAATAGAATCCTTTTTATTGCAGTTAATTCAAAATATTCCTATGCTGGCTTTACTAATTCTTCAAAACTTTCAGGCATTGACATCATTGATTTGACTCATTTGCATACAACCAATCAGCGCGCCGGAAATTATCGATTTTCTTTACTTTGTGGAAAGGTGAATATTAATTTCATATTCTGTCAATGTTTAATACACGTACATATTAGATTTACAATTGTACTTTTTTGTTACGATGTTATATTCATTTCATATTCTGTCAATGTTTAATACAAATACCTACATATAGATACCTCAAACTGGGAACTGGGGACTGGGGACCAGCTTAGAAGATACATACATACATATGACATAGATATCTCAAAATGGGAACTGGGGACTGGGGACCAACTTATAAGATACATACAAATACATATATACACAAACATAGATATCTCAAACTGGGAACTGGGGACTGGGGACCTTCTTAAAAAGATACATACAAATACATACATATTATATATAGCATATAAATATCTCAAACTGGGAACTGGGGACTGGGGACCTTCTTAAAAGATACATACAAATACATACATATTATATATAGCATATAGATATCTCAAACTGGGAACTGGGGACTGGGGACCAGCTTAGAAGATATATACAAATACATACATATATAACATGTATACAATACACATATATCTCATAAATTAAAGCATATTCATAGATATCTCAGATATTCATGAATTATTGTTATTTAATTAACATATACTATGTCAACTAATAAATTAATTGTTATGTATCTACTGTAGTTCTATATATGTATCTAGTCTATCTAATTAACATATTCCATGCTTGTATATATATCATACATATATATGAATACATATAATAATGTATGTATTTATCTAATTTTGCATATTCTGTGCTGGCATATAATATATATATGCATGAATACATAGATATATGTATGTATACATATATGTATCTATCTAATTTGCATATTCTATGCTGGTTTACATGGCCCATAAGCCATCTTTTTAGGAGGAGTTTATGATGATATCCAGCCATATATCAGATTGTTCGTTGCTATGGTTACTCGTAAATTGATTCCCAGTATTCTAGATCATCAAATGTTACATATTTTGAGATAGAGTACAAATATACCAAATCGTTTCAGTTCATGAGGCCCATCCTTCATTCAAAGGGCTTCATTTATTCCTCAATTCATGTAAAAAAGTGAAATACCCTCGGGCCAAAACTGCATGAGGGCTGAGGAGTGATAAATATAAAGGAAGTGTTTATTCTTCATATCTATTCTATACTTCCAATTGATGTATTGTATTCCTTATTACTTCTACTTCAGTGGAATGACAAACCAGGCAGTCTCACATCAAGGTCATCTTTACACCCACCATTGAGTCTCTATCCAACTCAAAGATTAGAAAATAGATAGAAGGAATATAATTTGAATATTTTACTTACTCTAACATCTGTTGCATCCCCACATTTCACAACATTAAATCCACCATTCGGTAGGTGAACTTTTAAGATAGATTTGTCCATACTGCTGCATCTATAGAGATCTTTCAGGGCTTCTAGCGCCTGTTGTGTGTAGCGTCGCGTCTCAACAGGGGGTGGGAGCGGGGGTGGAGATGGGGAAAATTGTTTCTCTTTCGTAGGTTTCCATATATTAGACCACTGAGACACCTGAAAATACAGAAGAAAAATGATGTGATTAAAATTAAAGGTTAATTCAACCTACACCATGTTCACGATAAGGTTCAAAACGTGATTGTCACAACTGAACATATTGGCATTCAGTCTACTGCCAAATGGCAACCAATTTTTTTAAGTCAATTGCCAAGAGGGGAAATGGTTGCTATTGGCAGTCAAGTATTTGTGAGTTTCAAACCCTGAACCTACACTAAGGCATCATTGCATGGGTTTCTATGGGATTTTCATTCTTTCCTTTCTGAAGACAGACAATTTGATGAGTATCAGAATGATACTAAATTACTTCTGGCAATCAATGTTTGCATATAAGAGATCAATAGACACAAACTGCAGTATATGCTTAAGTCTAAAGTAAAGAACAAAAACAGGTTTACAATGCAAATTTCTATAATAAACATTAGATCCTGTCTACATCCTAAGAGGAGCATCCATCAAGTTTACCACTGACTCATCACCATCTATGACCTAACACATCCCATAAAACAGAGAAACCCCTCATGAGTTCTCTTAAAGAATTTTTATATTGCATCAATGGAGATTTGGTTCACATCTTTTTAGAGGAGTTGATTAAGTTATGGAAAATGATTTAAATAACACAACTGAATAAATTAAAGTTACAATTGTGGAACACTTTTCACTGAAAAATGCTATTAAAAAGAAGGAAAAATAAATCATTTAGCCTTGAGAACAGAGGTTTAATATAAAATCTCTTAAAATCTCACGAAAAAGAGAATTGGTAAGATTTCAAAGCTATATAGAAACTTCTATATTGTTGAAGAATGTTGCTGTTTGAGAGACAATAGAATATGAACTCATTTATTCGGCTGGAATACCACGCTCTGGTGTGATGACCCTTGGGATAAACAATAAAATTTAGAGCAAAATCAAGAGCAACAGAGAGCAAGAGAGCATAAGTGACTTGAGTAGACACTAAGTAACTCTTCATTAAACAAGTTGTTACAAATGAAAAAATCATTTATCTACATTAAGAGAATACAATGACGTCCTGTTAAAATATTTAGAATAGGAAATTACTCCTACATAGGAAAATTGATGGCTTTGTGGAATTGCTAATCATGTCATTCTGTTTTATATGCAACTACTCTTTTCTTATTTAGAACAAGCATCCTAAATTTTGATCAACAAAGTCTTTTAGAGACCATCTCACAATTTAGATTTTGTTTTTCGATGTGAATAAAATTATTAAAGGGCTTATTTAAAGAATATATGAAAATATTCATGATTAACTAGGAAACAGCAACTATACCTTTGATCTAATGTAACTAAATGTAACCATACTTTGAAGAGATTAATTATAGCTATTCCCACTTCAGGCAGCCATTTTGAATTCTCAGAAAAATGAATCAGAAAAATAATAGGCCTACCACACAGTAACGGTGACCTACTCTAAAGCCAAGCCTTAAGATAAAATCTGCTGGTCATTATGTCCTCTAAAATGTACTGGTCATTGAGAAATCTAGCTGGTCAATGAAACTTTTTTGCTTGGAATGTTTAATAATTGAAACAGAAATTATCCTTTTTGAGGTAATTTATCGCTGAGAAAGGATGTGACTTTTATTTGTAGATGATCTCAGATCATTTAATACTCTTCTGAACCATTTCACATGGCTCAAAAGCCTTGTTTCGCGCTGAGATGGCCGTAATAACCCAAACCAATTTGCAAAGGGATCCATTTTCATACTAGACGGGAAATTGTATTTGACCACGGGTCAGATAACATTCACATTTTCTGCTTCCCTTATTTGGATTTATTCGGATATTTCCGTTATACTGATTAATTATGAATGCTGGCTGATCAATTAAAAACACTTACCCGTTACACTTACCGCCATACATGCATAAGGCAAACAACCATAGGCAATAATAACAGAAAATTAAATATCAGGGGGGCATAAAGTTGAATGAACAGCCGCATTTACTCTATGTTTAAGGGTCGCGTCAAGGTATCGGACATAATATCAAGACCATATTTTCAGTGAAATAGCATGTATCGGTCAGTATGTCCAACAGTTTCTGATTTTTAACTGGTGCCATCAATATTCTCCCGGACAAGAAAGGCAGTCCGACGCTTGAGGCGTGCCCTGTTTGGAAGAGATCAGGAAATTATTGCAAATCCCACATCAGGGCGGCCATTTAGAATTTTCTGAGTATGAAACCCAATCAGGCTATTATGGAGTCAAAAGCCACATTCAAGTAAAAAATAAAAACCTCTAAATCAAATTGGTATAATAAAAAGTTTTGTAAAGCAATATTTCCTTTATAAATTACTTTTCACTGGGACCTTGTCTAAGATGCATTTTACACGATGAAACAACTTCTTATTGTCATTTGAATACTTCAAATACTTCGAATACTTTTCATATGAACAAAGCGTAATTGACACAATTTTAAATCTAAATCAAATGTATGTGGAGAACCTTATAAAACCTTGTAAAGTGTATTAAGTTACAAAAAATGAAAGCATGAGAGTGTTATCATCAAACAAAAATGAAACTGGTCTTTCTTATTAAAACATATACAAATACATTAAGTCAATCTTAACATCTTGTAAGTAACAAAGATACAATATATGATTCAATTCTACTTGAAGGAAAATGTAAGAAACGTCATGATCAAACTCAGAGTATTGCCTGAATTGCTGTTATACCTGATGTTTCCCCTCAAATTAAATCTATGTTTTCTCTTTGTATATTTGTTTAATAACTTAGCATAGATATGACAGGAGTGTCTACTCAACATAAACAAGCATTAATAGTGCAAAAGAGAGCATTTTTACATTTAAAAAGCACATGTTTCGTGATTCTTATTCATGTTTTTTTCTTTTAGGAACCTATAAAAAAGGTCATTCAAAATTACCTTTACAAGGTCAAACTGTTTTATATGGTTAGACATCGAGCCAAATCGTGACAAAAGATTCATTTGATAATCAACTTGATTCATATTTTTTAGCCAAGCTTTCAACCACATTTTAATTTTTATCAATTTTAATCTCATATTGCTAAATTAGGAAATACAAAGTGGTTCATTTGAATATACACATATAACTAATATATATTTATTCCATAATACTACTGTTTTCCCAGGGAAATATGAAGGAATAAAAATCGTATTGAATCGTATTACATGAAAAAATCGTATTGTCCCCGGGATTAAAATTGTATTGGAGCGTATTACATTAAAAAATCATATTGTCAATGGGAAAAAATCGTATTGGAGCGTATTAACCTATTTTTGGTTTCCTGGTTGTTTAATTTTCAAACAATGTGCATTTATTAATATAATGTTTGCATTATCCAAATGTAACATTTGGTCAATATCATATTACCCTTCGGTCAATATCATATTGTCCCTCGGAATAAAACCCATATACAATCCCTCCCAGTAAATAACCTATACTGTATATATATTAACTAAATATATATACTAATATAAACTGAAAAATATGAACTTTTCATAGAAACAATAAAATCAGAAGGTAGGAATTTTGGACCTTGGCAGGTCAAACTAACCTCCAGACCATCTGTTCTAAGCTTATCTAATAAAACCCATATTTCTTTCATTGACAAATTAAAAACACAAAACTCTTAAATGTAACTTTGATAACATAAATAATGAAGCAGTCTCAAAAAGGCTTATCACAATATATTACCCCATTATCACACCCATATGCATCACTAGATTAGTCACCATGTGTCAAGCTTACAGATAAAGAAATACAGAAAGGCAACAAATGGATGTTCAACCATGGGCATTCAATAGAATCTATTGAAAGCCAATGGTTCAACTCATACCAATGTTTTGCTTTATCAAAAAATAAGTAAAACATTGCATTATGAGATTTTTAGCTTTGGGAGATGAGATGTAGATTTGTTAAGAGTGGAGGCAACAGGCTAAACATGCCTCTTGAGAATAATGGCGCTTGAGAAGACCAAATCTTGCTTCTCTTAAAATAAATGCAATTACTCAACTGACCAAACCTTGCATTCAATTTTGATCCCCTACAACCACCAGCCATCTCGTGTAGGTGATATGTTATAGGGTCAGGACACATATAAGCTTGATGCAATACTTAACTTACCACTATGTCTAAAGAGCATTTCTTGCACCATTTCCCCCTGTCAAATGTCTCAACTGATGTAGACCCCATATCTTAGCTAATCCTAATAATGACAATATATCTCATAGCATATATCTTAACTTCAAGTCCGTAGGTCATTTTCTGGACACATCCCCGGAACTGGGTATGCCAAGATCCTTAATCCAGGAAAATACATATTTCTCATTTATATTATATATAAATCTTCATAAAACGCTCATGATCCCTGTATTATAGATCCAGTTCATATTTTGTATTTTGTCATCTCAAATACATGTGTTTTACAAGATTAAAATGCTTTTATTCCTGATATGCTGATGACACATTCATTTTCATTTGTCTACTATACTAGCATCCAGAATTCTAGAAGCTTTCCTAGCTAATTTGATTGACTTCCGAGCTATAAGTAATCTAGTTACCGTGACTTATTCCGATATTCTAGTCTGTGAGCGAATTACATTGTAGTCACATTTTTTTCTAAACAAAGAAAATTGGTATGTAGAAAAGCATGATGAAAATGAACAGACACAAAGTTCATATATTGAATCATATAAAAATATAAATCCAAGAATTTAAATTTTCAAGAGAAAATATATAATTGATCTACATTTGAGTATAATATTGCGAGGTGAATCAATGGTATCTGGTTGAATGGACATAGGCATCTATTGCCAAGCAGACAAAAATGCAAAACTGTGACATCTATGCTAAAACACATATTCTCTATGAGCTTTAGACACACATGCTGGCAGAACCATAGTATGGGAAAATAAAAATGGCCCTAGATAAGGCTTGAAAGTAATTCATTTTTACCCTCTAATATGCACTGAGTATGAGACATGAGTTCAAATTATATGTGAGAAATATTATGAAACACATTTTAAAATCTGTGATTTGAATCATATGTGTATTTGTAATGATTATGATATCAGTTATAGTGATAGCATAATCTTTATGGCGATCATGCATAATCTTTATGGCAATCCTAAGGTCATAATCAAACTCAACTGCTTGTCATAGGGGAATTTATTATTCTACAATCTACCTGAAACACCTATATGCCACAATACTCCTCACATATAATGAATGATATCCTAAGTATGCTGCTTTATGCTGCTTACTGTTTATAATTCAAAAGTTACCTGCCACCCTGCTCGAAAACAAAATCTGTTTGACATTTTGACAAAAACATATCATGTGCATCTGCATCCAAGGATTTTGCAACCGAGAAGATAAATGTAAAACTAGTACATGTACTAGTGAAAGAGAGAACATACTTATTTACCACAAAATCAAACAATTCATAAAATTAAGTTTAACACCTAGAACTTTTAAAAATAGTAATTTCCAAGTTAATCAACAGGATGGTTCCCCGAAAATGATAAAATAGGGACTAGTAACAGATATATTGGGTATATTGACTTTGCATGTTTCAGGTACAATTGTCAGGTAAAACTATCATGCTATAAAATACTCTAGTAGCCTGGGCAAAATAATGTATAGCATGTATAATATTCTGTTATAATATACATTAGTTCAACAAGTTAAACCTAGTCTGGGCCTTATTTCTTTATCTGACATATCTTGTGGCCCGCCTTAGGTTTAACGTCCGTGCCTATTCGGCCCTTGATGCAAAATTTTTTAATGGTGGCCTATGGCAGCGCATGGAATTACATGCGGGTTTTATGAATAACTGATGGTGAGAATTTGCAACCAAATGAAAGCATTGTACGGAAGTTAAACCCAACCACGGCAACAAGAACACTCAGATTAATAAATGAAAGCCGTGGTATTGGGTTTAACTTGTTGAACTAAATATACATAAGCTACAATCAAATATATACAGTAAAATAACCCTGTGAAATTATTCTACTTGGTACATACATGTTATAATTACTTTTAGAACTTACTAGTAAAGACACCATATTCTCTCCAATAAACGCAGTGTGTTAACCAAATTCTCCTGAAGGAGATGTCTCAAATCACAAAATCCCCAGGAATTTGAGAAAAAAAAATTTGGGGCGATAATAGGCTGTTTCATGGTTTTCCTCTTTAAAACTGGACTCACTCTAACTAGATAACATAATATCATACCTCAATGTTTCCCTCATGCATTTATCGATCTGCTGAATGTTTTTCCATGGGTTAATTGACATATATGCATCAATTGATGATAAACATCCAATCAAATTGCTCCGAGCAGGTGCCATTTTTGAAATTGATACCCAAGTCAAAATAATAATAATAGTAGTCTTCATTTATGGAGGAAATAAAGAAAATACATACATACATTGAATATTTGTTTGTGGCAAAAGGCAGAAGAAGTATAATAGATCAGAATTCCCATGATGCACTGCGGGCACTGCGAGCGTTTAGTAATGGAGATGGGTCATAATTGACGTTCATCATAGCTTTTAACTCATCACTTTAAGGTTATCATGAACGTAGTTATAGTACTTCCGGAGACACGTCTGTAACAGCATTATGCACACAAATGGCTCTATCAATAGCAGTAAGTGAATTATTCAATATTAACCCTATTATTGCCCGCTCGGATAAATTATATTTTTCTTGACTTTTGTTTTTCAAGTTGCCAGTTTTTCTTGGAAAAGTCAGGTGTGCATTTAGTAGAGTGTGTGTTAGAGATAACACGGTACTAATACAATAAAGGTTTACTCTAATGGCAAACTCAAATGATGAACAAATATTTGATGCCAATATTTCTGTGAGGACTACTACTTAGAGTTTTATATATAACGAGGGGCTTTAAATGATACCTTACTTAAAAGTTACATTTCACACAAACACACCAAATAAAAAAGACAGCAGAAATGGCAAGCGTTTCTGATGTGAAGACATCTTACAATTTAGAAAATGCACATCAAACCATGAAGCAAGTGAAAGACAAGAAAAGAGACAAATGTTTGAAAATTGGACTTACATTTGGCATTTTAATTGGACTAGTTGTCTTTGCAATTGTTTTAGCAGTTTTAATCACAGTGATGGCGCAAAATAATTTCAACTCAGTTCCAAATAACAACAACAACAATGGAGATTGTACAACCAGCGAGGTTGTTCAACCAAGAGTTACAGCACATGATGTGAACACTATTAAAGCAGATATTACTGAGCACATAAGAGAAAAACGACAAGGTGGGAGTCTCATCAGAATTGCTGGGTTTGTGAGGTTGGCATTCCATGACTGTGTTGGAGGTTGCGATGGGTAGGACTTTATTCTTCTTTAAAATATTTCAAAAAATTTCAATTACATTATGAATAATATTCATAATTTTTACAAATATTTTCAAAATTTGTGTCCTTTTAAAATACATGTGGTTAAGTCTTTCACATTCCTCATTCATTCATAGATATTGAATGCCCTGCATATTATTGGCATATTATATTGGGTTTATGTTTCTTTCCTTTGTTATGCATGTCACATACTATTAGAGTAAATATGTTTTTTTGTGTCTGTGTCCTTCAAATTTGGAACTTCTCTCATCTAGGGTAAAAATATCATTTGACATGAAACTCACCCTCTCTTATTTATTGCACCCCATTGAAAATTGATGTTGAAACTTTAAAACCTGGCTTTTCATTTTCTCTCTTATGTAACTAATTTTGCAATAATGAAACATTGGTTTTTGACTTAGCGCCTTATCTATTGCCTGGTTGGGATACAGTAGTTAACTAAGCGATTGTAATTCTCCTTAGTACATTTAATTTAGAGATTTCTAACACTATCATAAATCTAATGATTAAAATGTCAACCAATTAGGCATGATGAGAGTTAGTTCAATACAGGTGTATATACAATTCTACTTGTGAAACTAGATTACTGTAGTTTATAACTATATTTATTGTACAACTGTGCTATAGCATTTCAAAATGATTCATCTTTTCAATATTTTGAAGAATTCCACAAAGTCACAAACCTTCAATGTAACAATGACTATGCAAAATGAAAAAAAATTAAATTAAGAAAACCTTATAAAAACAATATTTGAAAAATTGATGAAGAGGCTTTATTATATGTATTATGCAAAAGAGAAATGATAAAAGTTATATCCTGTGTCCCAAAAATGAGCCACTTTTTGACAAGTATTATGTCCAGGCAACTGATTCACCAAATTCACTTAAATGTATAAAGTAGCTTAAGAGTATTATTAGCAAGTTGTAAAAATATGAAAAAGATCAAGTAAATATTCTAAGAAATAGAGACCTCTATAGTGTTTGTACCAACTATCATCTTCGCACACTCGGTCTTCATCGCGTTCGATGGGAGCCGAGTGAAGTCCGATTAATTTTTTTCATTCATCTCAAATATCCAAAATCCAATTCATTCTCAAATTCATTGGAGGTGATATTGTTAGAATAAATATGGAAAAGTATTTTTGCTTGGAAATGGATAAAAGAGAGAATCAGATATAACAAGCAGGCTAAACAAAAAATTGTCTCAATTTTAGAATATTTTTGGCTCATGTCATTCCTTGTCATGTCTATTTTCTAAAAATCACAAAAGGGCATACTTTATTCAAAGAAAACTAAAGATTTTTACAATACTGTATTATTTTTCTGTAAGAATGGTTACCATTCTTATTATTTGGGAGAATTAAAAATTTTCTACCCATTTTTGCACTTTGAATCATTGATAACTTCACCAATTTATAACATATTGTGAATCTTTTGGGAGATATTGTATTTGATATTGTAAGCAATAGATTGGTAGGTCAATTATAAAAAGACTTTTATATTAATATTATTATTATTATATATTATTAGGCTTATCTATTGCTGAGAAGTTTCTCGTCAAATTCATCTCATTTTTGGTGGAAACGCTCTAAAGTTCTCATTGCGATGCCCCGGTATGGGATATTATGACATGGTATCTTGAATTTCTTAGTACTTAGATAATATTTACTTGATCTTCTTCATATTTTCACACCTTGCTATTGATACTCTTGGGCTACTTTGTACAAATTTACATCAATTTTTGGTTCATCAGTTGCCGAGATAATACTTGTCAAAAGGTGGCTCATTTTTTCTGGGACACCCAATATATGTAGTTGAAATACTTCAGTTCCTAAGATATTATATCTATACATCAATCTAAACTTGTGTTTGATTTATCTGTGGTAATCTTAAAATGAATGAAACACAGCTTTTTATTTATTTTAAAGTTATTCATGAACATGATTCCTCAAGAAAAATATCAAAACAGGTAGTACTATGTTCACAAAATATCTTCATTGACACAAGCTCATTAAATTCATGTTAAATAATTTTGTATACATTTGTACTTCTTCTCAGTTTTTTTTTCAATTCATCTTATTCACTTACTGACATATTCCATAATTTAAGATATTTTTGAGTAGCTCTATTTCTCATAATATGTATAATATCTTCAACTATTAAATAAAAATCATTATTGCCCAACCACTGATGAAAATATCACTACCTAATACTTCAGGTGTATTGACTTAGGAAATGGTGAAAATGCTGGACTTGGTCTTTATATTGAAGAACTGGATCCAGTCTACAGCAAATATTCAAATAAATTAAGTCGTGCTGACTTTTGGCAACTGGCAGGTATCGCAGCTCTACAAGAGAGTGGTCGCGGTTGCAATAACTGTATTCACCCATGGGTGCAGTTTGTGGCAGGTTAGTTGATATATGGGGTAGACAATTTCAACTCAGAGAAACTGCAATATATAAACGAATGTTGAGGATCATAGTGTTGAACAAAGTATGACCATTTTCTTAAGATTTAAGGTTATTTTGGGTTCATATACTAATATTACATCATATTTTATTTCTAAAAATCAAGACTTATTTCAGGGAAATTCATAGACTTAACATTATGTGGTAATTTTCCTATAATTTTGAAGAATTTAGACATTTCTGCATCATGGGTAGTAAATAAAGAATGTGCTCTATTTGTTCCTTTTGATTCTAGCTCAAAATTCAATAAAAATAATTGATCTTTAACTTTATGTAAATTATGTTATAGGGAGAAAAGACTGCAGCTCGTCTCCCAAATATGATGGCCCACATAGAATGTTTCCAAATAATGGAGGCCATGCTAACATAGATGATGTCTTAGGATTTTTCAATTCAACATTTGGTATTTATATTTACTATATAGCATACTTGAAACCACACTGAACTTATTGTCACCGTGACATATTATAAAATTGCCCATAAAAATCCTCTGGGTGCAACAATTAAAAACTATTAAAATTGTTTACACTTTCTAGATTTATTATAGTTGAGGGTTGTTTTTCATGAAAAAAATGCATGAAACATGACTGGCCTTGATATTATTTGATATCATTCCAGAAAGCGTGATCACCTCACCCTGTTAAAATGGAGCTAGAATGCGTCATACAACATTTAAAATTACATTACCAAAGTAATATAGAGTTATATTTCACTAGCTGAACTTCAAAGTATTTCAGACTCCAAAAAAGCTTTCCTCCAACTGAAAAAATGATCTGATTATAAATCCAAAATTTCATGTTAAAATAATAACATTGATGTACAATCCATCAGAATAATAAACATCTAATGATATTTTTCAACTGCCTAGGTCTCTCAAGATCCCAGCCAGAGCTAGCAGTTGCACTTCTTGGTGCACATTCTCTGGGACGAACACATAGAGGAGCATCGGGATGGGATGGTCCCTGGGATCTTACACCAGACCGCCTAGATCAGAGCTACTACAGCGATATGATGAGACTTAATTGGACAGAGGTCGAGATAAGCAATAACAAGCACCAATGGAAACCTCCAATTGGTATAACTCAAGAAATATTTTTGATTTGATTAAAGTGTGAATTTTGATGTTATAAGAACATTGTAGCTTTTAGCTGTTGTCATATTGAAGTGAATAGATAAGATTTAGATTCAGCTGATTTGACAATGCCTGGTTTTAAACATGTGACCATTTTTAGCCGATATATACAGCTTTAACTTAGTCATGCCATTTCATATTTCATTATTACTTACTTAGTAACTCAGTATTTTAATTATATACAAGGCCGTAGCCAGGTTTGTCAAGAGGGTTCACTATTCAAAAAATTCCAGGTGAGTTTCAGTGTTCACATTGAACAAAAATCACTGAAAAAGTGTTTAGAATGGTGAAAAAACTTCATGATTTTGAAAGATTTTTGACCAAGGGATTCACTCGAACTCCCCCCCCCCCAAACACCCCCCTGGCTAGGGGCCTGATATTTAAAAAGATTTCTGGGTTACAAACCTGTCCTTTAGAACAACTTAAACAACTTCAAAATACATTGAAATATTGTATACACACAGATTTTAATCCATTTTTTCAGGAAATACAATGATGCTACATGCAGACATGTGCTTACATAAAGTTATCAGTCCAATAAACACAACAACAGGACAATCTGCCTGTCCATTTGCACAGCTCTGTGACAATCAGCCAGAAACTTCTAAATTTGTTCAATTATTTGCTGATGATCTTGAGGCATGGGAGCGGAATTTCCAGGCAGCATACTATAAGATGATAACAACTGGCTACACAAATGCAGAGCTTTATGTACCAGCTTAGAGAGAGACAGGATAAACAAGTTGTTGTCATTGGGGGGGAGGGGGGGGGGCATATGAATGATATATGACTGCAGATTATTGTATAGACTTACAAACTTAAATATTTACAAAGACGGGGAAATATCAAAACAACAGATAAAGGTATCAAAAACCAAGTTGAGATTTTGCTTCTTAAAAGAGGAAATATCTAAACAACAGATAAAGGGATCAAAAATCAACATGGACATGTTGAAATTAACAAATGAGATCACTAAGCAATCAAAAAGGTTATTTTTCTATTATAATTTCTGAAACTATAAATCTACTAGCTTGCTGTATAAGTAATCATTCTAACTCATGTTTAAGTTTATAGGAATATGAAGTTATACCTGGTACTATAGCAGTGACATCTATAAAATGAGAAAATGCTTATTCACAACTCGTCGCATTGTGCAACACATAATAATGTATAACACAATAATGATGTTTATAAGATATAATGAATAAATTTACTGTTAAAATAGCAACAATAACATAAACTACTGTATTTAGTCTTTCAAAAGTCTTTCAATTGGGCCATAAGAAGTAAAAATGTCACAACTTCAAATACTTAAAAAGAGTAACAATTTGTTATATATGTCAAATTACAGCCATCGATGTAATATGCCTATTACAAGAAATGACGGCTTAAACAATAAGACATCACTTCAGACATGTATATCCCTTTTCTTATACAGTAAAACCTGTCTTAGTGAATACCTCTCTCTAGTGAACACTTTTCTCTAGTAGACACCCATCCTCAACACATACTCTAACGACTTCTGTATAAACCACACTCTCTGTAGTGAAAACCTACCAACACTGAAAGTTTTTTCTAGGTTAAACTGTTCAATATACATAGGTTGTACTGTACATGTAGCTTATTTTGCTTCTTAAAAGAGAATGTCACCAGGCAGTGACACACAAATAAAGAATTTTAATTAATTTACAAGTTTCTTCAGCCAGAGAACACTGTGACATACAAAGGATGCTTCAGTCACCTACCATCAAAATCTCAGCTGTTAGTTTCCTCATTGTAGCTTTGTCATACATATCCTTATCCTCATATATTGCTATACCATCATCAGGATCCTGGTGAATATCCTCATGTATATCATGACTATATAGATCAACATACTCTCCCAGTTGCTTGAAACTTCCCATATCAGTCTATTAAATATTCTGAATTTGATTAAATGCCTTGCCACTTACGTAATATAAGAAAGGAAGAGGAAGCCCATGGAATATCATGCACATACATGCTTATCAGACTCTAAACATGAGAGAAATCATAATTCCAAAACATGTGATATTTAACATCTATAAGGCTTCATGTTAAGAGTCAGCAATGGAGACTGTACTGAGTCAGAACTGATAATATACCTAGCCAAAAACAACCAACTCTGGTCAAACTTTCCATATTATGTTCTCATTATCTGAAACATCAAACTCCCCTCAAAAAAAATCTACAACTAATAATTAAGACAATTGGTCTTAATTCTTTTATGATCTATCCTTGCTAACTATTCATGTAGGTACACTATATAGCAAGTAAACCGCTGATCACTGTATCATTAGTATTTTACTCCAAGGATGATAGCATATGTAATCTTATCCAGAGGAAAACATTGCTGTGAGGCTTATTTTGAAACATAAACCATTGGTATCTAGAATAGACAAATGTCAATGATTACTGTATGGTCAGGGATAATAACAAGTGTATCTACCACCAAAAGCAAGCAAGCCACAAGTCAGTTGCTATCATCCACAATCCTAATCTACTGGTGAAACTTTACAAATACCTGCAAAAGCATATAGTGATTCCATCATAGTAAATGACAACGATGATGAATCTACTGGTGAAACTGAACCTTTTGACCAAGTGATGCTTATGTGATAGAAATAAATAACTTCATGAAGAAATATTTCTCATGTCTTCACATGAAGATTAAATCATCAAATCAAACCTCTCTGACATCATACACAATTTATTTACTAGTTCTACATCAGAAGATCCACTGATACAGCAATGCATTAAATTATATCCTTAATTTGATAATTTCCAGTATTTAATTATACGATCAACAGTTTTCATGCCTTATAACTGACATGGTTTTTAAAAATATATTTCTATTTTTCTAATGTTGCCCTTAGTATATTTTTACTTTAAAAATCTGTTCGCTTATTATATTTTTTCTCTGTTTCAAATACTTATCCACAATGCCAATGCACAGTCTAAGACAAGGTCTCAACGAGTATTATAAGTCTGTAAGTTTATATTGAATGGAGTAGAACAGAATCTTAATTGCATTAATATTTACGAAACCAAATATCAAGGAAATGACTTTGAAACCAGAAGATTGAGTGGCATTACTGTTTATATAAAGCGTTGTGTATCAAAATACGCCAAAGATTTGAGTATAGGGTATATTGACCACTTAACAACAAAACAACCACTAAAAATTCGGGTATAGGGTATACTGACCACTTAAGCAACCACTAATGCATGTATTCTAAATATATAAATTGGGGTCCTTTCCTACCATACTCATCCCAATACATAACAATGTATACATATTGTCATGTGATCAAATACCTCCAATCAGCATTGAGAATAAAAGAAAGTGGTCTGAAATATCATGGGACTGAAGATAATCAGCGGTACAAATAGAATAATACATGACCTCCTTCATAAATATTTGTTGACTCAGATTACTTTATCAATTAATTCTACTCATTGCGGAAATAAACAAAGAATTGGTCAGTTTTAATTCCAAGTCTAACCCCTGCCTTTATATAAAAATCATTAAAAAAGATCTCATTCTATTTTTTTATATGTTTCTGTCTAGCATATTTGTTATTTATTTATTTCAAATGAATTTCATATCTATAGGATTTTTAAGAATAAAAGTAGAAATATTTTTGATTGTATATTACAGGCAACAGGAGAACAACCAGGAATCAGAAAATATTGAATCCATGTTGTATCCTTGTCCCCTAATTGGATGCATATTTAGAGATAAAACAACTGCATTGCACCTAAATAACTTATCCTCTACCCCATTCCTATCCCCCCCCCCAACTATCTAGTTAACCACAATGCATGGGAGGGACAATACAGGGGTTTAATGGCTTGATGGACTATTGAAGTAAAACGACATACTTTTTATTCGGCAATAATATTTTAAACTAGATGGCTGGGAAATCCAAGATGGTTGAAAAGGGAATAGAACAAACATTTGTAAAGCTATCAGCAGTGATGAATCAGCCATGGAATTCAACTTTGGGTTTGTTTATATACAGAACCATGTAATTGTGTTACATAAAGACCATCAAGTGCAAAACTTATCAGAAGTCGGTAAGTGAAATATAGAGGTGTATTTCAAAACATTCTCATAGAAAATATTTCACAATTTTTTTGAGAAAAACATATTTTGAGAAATATTTTATTGTATGATTTAGAGCCTTATGCCCAATGTTTTTCTTACTCATTTTCGAGATTTTTTGAAGATAAGTGTAAGATACCTTGAATTTACACTGAGATGGGTGAATAATGTATGTTGTAAATCCTCAATGTAAATGCACATGATGACTTCTTCCTTTGGAATGCCAACTCGCCATCAAAGCATTGGAATTACCAGAACAACCCAGAAAACAGAACACTGCGTACTAACTAATAATCATAAAAAACATAAACCTACAAATGTGTACCAGTCATTAATTCAGACAGCTTTAAAACCCACCTAAAACCGAAACACCCTTATCTCCTTCTACTTGTCTGAGGGTACAGTGTATTTTAGTAGGTAATACCTTCACTGATCAAAATGATCCCCTTTCATTTCTACTTTCTTTCCAGTTTCTTTTCCAAAAGACATAAAAAATATCATTTTCAAGTATAAAGTATAAATTTCTTATTCTGAACTTACCCGCTTGTTGTTATTATTATTTTTGGGTGAAGGAGGTGGTCCTAATCTTATAATACATGTATCATGCATTGTACAATGTTTTGTTTATTACTGTATAATATCCTTTTGAAGATGTTGCTGATAATGATAATACTCCAAGAATGTAAGTTCCTCACAATAATACAAATAACACATGTAGCGAATCCATGGTTGGTAGCATCTTTATTGAGACATAATAAAATCCTGAGTAGCTAGAAAACCTCTTTGTAGGTCTGTGGCATTCTGATATCTATATCCATAATCCAATACAATCTACAAGTCAAGTCAACTCAGCCAACTCCCACAGTTCCACTTGATACAAGATTCTGCTTACTTTAAGAGGAAGCGATTTATAAAAGTTGACCTCTTGAATTTGTAACTTTATCTTGTAATCCTGGTTGAATCCTTGCCAGTAATTTCAAATCTAGTCTTTGTGATTTCACCCTTTGTCTTGAAAATTATACGTTAAGAACCAGATTTTCTTGGAGATCTGTAGAATGTACAGTGTAAATAACATACCTTTTCAGTATATCTCTTACATTTCGATTGTATTTTGTACAAAATTTATTAAAGCATAAAACATTTTCAGGTGGAATGTGCTCAAATCCGGAACCTGGAGGTTTCATATCACATTTTGTCTCAAGGCAACTGATCAACCCTCTCACCATCTTCAAATCATGCATATTCTCAAAAGTACTCAAAACAAGAGAAATTATCAAGGAGTATGTATTAATAGAATTACTACTTAATATATAACCATATAACATGTAAGGGGTTCTATGGTTGTCTTCAACTTTAAAAATTTGAAATTTAATCACTAGGGATGAACTTTTTAAGAAGATTTATCAAAGGATGGCTCATGTATCCATATATCCCATCTTATACATACATCTGATTGGTTGAATTTTATAGTCATGTGATACTAAAACAAAATAAATTTATCCCTAAATTCGAATAAATGAATATAGAATAGAACATTTTGCTTAAAATGTCAAAAAACTAAAGTGATACTGGGATATCTAAACCTCTAGTCTTTTTATAAACTCTGAGATATCAATATCCAGATCTCATAGATTTTTTAACTGTCCTAAAACAGTGCAAGAGTTTGCCAGTATTCCCCAAATGATTTCCCATAGGGATATACGATTACTGAACATAGTGAAACAGTTTGTAAAAAACTACGTCAAGATGTCAAACAGGATTTCGCAGATGAGATATTAAATGATAAGTGGGAAGAAGCTGGATGTTTACGCATCAGGTTGAGAATCAGAAAGACAAGAGCATGAAGATTTGAGGATTGATGAGTTGTATACATGGTATAGTTTTACAATCTCGGTCTCTGAATCTCCCCTCCCCATTTACTTCGCAAGCAGCTTGTTGAGGAGAGGTGAATGGGGGAAGGGGTTACAAGACTTAAAGCAAGACTACATTATACACAGACACACTAACCTACACCCTGCTGAGAAACCACAAAACACAAGGGACAATCACTTGAAAAAAGAAAATGAAACATGAACAACATTTACCAAAATATATCCTCAAAAGACCTGACTAGTGCTAACAAATGTAAAATAAAACAATAGTCAGTTTGATAAAATGAAAGTATAAACATCTATGACTCAAAAATGGATAGGAACAAATAAACAAAATGATGTGAAGAATTGTGGAAGTGGTCAGTCTAGTCATAATAACAAAGTTGACAAACTCTTTATGAGATTGATAGACTGAAGGTCAACTTTCAAGAACAATAGAGTAGTTTCTAAATAGCTTTAAAATCTTGCTAAATCTAGTTTTTTCATGAGATTTTTAGAGATTTGGACTTTTAACCTCTAATGACTTACTTTTCTTTATTTTTGATAGCATATTTGAATTCAGTGACAAGTTTTCTCCATTAATAAGTTTGATTTACGAAGTCATGTCATTTAAATCATTTTCCATGACATTTAAAAAAACTTGGGCCAAATCTCCATTGGTGCAATGCTAAGATTCATTAAAACCTTGGCTTATTTGTATGACAACCACTATTTTCATGTTTAATCACAATATGTACATTAACAGTATCATCCGATAATATGCCATTCGAGTTTCAGACAGATTCAACAAACACTTTTTGACAAATCATGAAATTAAGTGACTATTGCAAGTTTCTAGCATTGAACTGAATGGAGGTGTGGCCCAAGAAAATCAAAGACAAACAAGGGTGACATCTATCATGTCAGCGTTATTCAGCTATTTAGAAACTATACAATTGCTGTTGGTATTTTCTGATAAGTCCGTATCTTACCATAAAGAAAGTAAACACACATATACTTTGTGTTGTGAAGCTTTTAGATCACCCATAAAGTATAAATGGTACTCTGAAGCTCAGATAGTATATGATAACGCAAAATTGAAATATTGAAAAGGGTAAAGGAATCTGCTTTGTCTTCCAATGAGAATTGCATTACTGCCTTCTCAAACTTTACCATAACAAGAACAGATGCATACATGGGTCAATCTTTAGTTCCTAAATTGATCTTGGACTGTTTGTTGTTTTATGATTAGTGGTTCTGAGGTTATCACAACATAACACAAAGACCTAGGTAGGAATCAACAACAAAGTTTCAGACACATTGATTACAATGATTACTTGTCTCACCAAAATGTTTTACATCATGTTGAAGAACAGTATGCTTAGAAAAGTTATGCATATCATTTCTATATGATATTGTGATTAAACACCATAACAACACAATAAGAATATGTTCAAATGGTGGTTGTAAAGATGGTTTTAACATAATAACAAAGAAGTGACCAGCCCTGAACCTTTTATCAGAGGCCACCAGTTACAGATTGTTTCCTTTCTGGTGTTTATGGCAAGTGAAAGTGGTCTGTATAATAAACATCTACATGGATCCAGCTGGCTTGGACAAACAACAATGGCTGGCATGATAACCCCAGCACGATAAAGATATCTACTTTCCTGCGTATGTACTAGCCTCCTTGAGAGATGAGAGGTAGGGGGGGGGGGGTGTCTAACTTCAAAAGATTTTAGAATATAGCGAAAGGAAACAAAACATAAGAAAAATGTGGCATGATAAACCAGCCAAGAATGATATAATGATATAGATGTCTACTTCCACTTTTGTTATAATGAGTATGGGATGAAGTCTCTAATTCATTCTCAGAATAAGGAAGGAAGGAAAGAAACACAACAATAATAGTGGCATGATGACCCAGCCATAGTCATTGTTTCAATTTACATTAGAATAAAATGACAAATGTTAGGGATGGTGTTCAATATTATAAACAGTTGTAGAAAAACAAAGTGAATTTCAAATGATTTGATCCCCTCCCAGCTCCCCTCATCTTACAAAATTTTAAAATGTTGATTTGTCTTTTACTTGAACACAATTTGCTAACAAAAACATCATTAACCCCCAAGTGATTTTAGCCATATTTGGGCCAAAATTGTCAAATGTGAACCCCCCCTAGAAATTTTTGAAAACTGAACCCCCCCCCTTGGCAAATCTTGGCTACGGGCCTGATGACTAAGCACCTCTATCCTGAAACTTATTGTATGTTTATGTTTTTGTTACACTAGCAACTTGCTCTGATATTATTTGTGGAGCTTCTTTTAAAAACTGTAAAAGGATATTAACAGAGGCATATATAGTGAAATATAAGCTGAAATGAAAGATCTCAAAAGCCTAGACTTTTGGATATCCCATATCCTAAAGTATCCCGCTGGTTTCTCACAACTGAGAAGAATCTGATGATCTGGTTTATCATGTTGTGAAAACTTTCAATTTACATAGAAAACCTCTAATTTAGAAACATTCTGAAGACAGGGTGTATAAAACTACTTCATACTTCATACTGAACACTTATATATTATATTGTGTTTACATTTTACCCCTCCTACACATTTGCTTATGTATATCCACACCACTTGAAATGTTGCACCTGGTATATATGTGAATCTTCTAAGGAGAGATAAACATTTGAACTTACTCACCTAACTGATTCTTGCTCGTTAATCAATCACCATTTTCAGTACAGTATCTTCCTGATATCATATATAAATTCAGCACAGTATCTTCTTGATATCATATATAAATTCAGGACAGATCTACAAGAGATCTATTTTCTGCAGGAGCTTACCTAATTAGACTCTGACCTGAAGGGAACCCAAAAATGAAAACAAGAAACAAGAAATTCTCAAAACATGAAAGTAATTGAACCTGTATATGTAAAAGCCTGTACTGTACAAGAATTCTACCTGCCTATAGCATGTCATGCACGCAATAAGCACATTCCGCCTTGTAAACCATCATTACTCAAGTGAACTATGATAATTAATCTATATTGAGGTATCCTTTCTTCAAATTGATCGTAATCATATGCTTGGGTGTTTCAGGTAGCACTAAATCACTTAATATTAAGTGTTTCAGATGGCACTAAATCATGAAGAAAGTTAGGACAGGTTAGAAATAGATAATCTAATCAAATAACCTGAGGAATGATTCTAACATGGTTAATGTCCATCTATCTCCATGTAGTAAATCCAGGTACCAAAAACAACATTTAAGGTACAAATAATCAGCCAAATATTTGATTCAGCACTTCTGCGTTGACTTTCTGCCTCCATATCACATTTAAGATATGAGTAACCAATACAACCCCTGTGTCGAGTCTCTGACCCCCCTCCCCATATTTACTTTTACACACTCATCCAATAACTACTGTAGATAGTGAAGATCAGAAAATGTTATGCAGCTAGATAGGTAGAAAAAGGTGACCGAAAAAAAGGAAAAACAAGGGTTCTGCTTGACAGCGCCATACTACTACTATACTTAAAGAATATCAACATTAGACTAGACTCCATTAATATATTATTCACTGCTTCCCCTTCAAGTATAAGAAGATCATGTTCACCTTTGACTTAACATAATAATTACCTCACATATTTCCATAGTCTCCATGGGCTCCATTGTAGCTTCAAATAAAGTATCACTCAATTGGTTATTTCAAAGTTCTGCAGTTCTTCTAAGTACATGTATATCCATTTTCATATAAGTATATCGCCATGAAATCCAGAAATTATACAGCATTACAGGCCAACAAGTTGCTCATTAGCGGAGCTTTCATTCACTGTTTTCTGGTAAAATGATTGTGACCTTACTTCAAAAACTCACAAACCAAAAACATAACTTACAGCACACTATGTAACATATGTTATGCAGAATTCATCCCTGTCTAATGCTAGTCTTACAAAATTCAGTATGCTTTACGGCTAAATGATAATACATAGTAAAATCAAAGTACAACTTGCAACTACAAAGATTTTGACAGTTCTCTTGTATATTGACATGTAAAAAACGCAACTGTTCCAGATCTAAGCAATCCAAACCTTCAAATGAAAGTCCAAAAGTCCATTCAACTAATAATATTTCATGTAACTAGTTAAAGATTAAAACCAAGATTAATATCTAGAGTATATTTTTATAATGATGCATTAGGAAATTGAAATAACAGACACAATTAAGTCAAAATTAAAGCTCTTTGCATATAAAAGAAAAGGGTTCCTATCTCAAGATTCCCCATTCTACATCAGGTGATCACAAAATAGACTAGAGCCATCTATTCAAATTGAAAATTATATTTGTATTATTTCAGCAAAAATTTAATTCTATTCATTTCCTCAGGAGAAACTAAACTGTTGTACCTCACTTCAATAACTCAGATGCGAGTAGGTAGTTACTAGTTTCACTACCAGGTGACTCATTCGGGTCAGATAGCATGGCGGAATAGTAGAAATTTCCCTTTAACTTAAATATTCATCAGTTCTAGTGGTTCAAATCTTCATATCACCCTTATATATCTAATAGTTATGCAAATTAAAATATGTCAAGTTAAAGAAAATAGTATCTGTCCAATACAAGAAAAAAAAATTTAAAAAATTAAATTTTCAAAGAACAATTTTCGAAACAATATTTCTAGATGTACTTTTACATGTAGATTTTAAATATGAAATTTGAATATTTAATGTCATAAATCAAAATTATTTCTACTTGCATCTAGTCTATTCTAATGATTTAGTATGTTTTTTCAAGAGCACTTGAAAATTAAACTTGGATTAGAAAAGAGGAGAAAACCCAAGAGTATAGAGATGACATCTAGTTCAATAGATCTATAGTAGATGACCCTAATTTTGATTGGTCTATGACTGAGGTCAATATCATTATAGCTGATTATGAGTTGAACTATGAAGTATGACTTATCTCCTCATCTTCATTGGAACAAACTCCTGGGATCATTCCCTTACAGGCCCGTAGCCAGGGAGGGGGTTCGCAGGGTTCAGGCGAACCCCCCCCCCCTGGCAAAAAATTCTTTCAAAATTTTAAAATTTGAACCCCCCCTTGGCAAATCCTGACTACGGGCCTGCCTTATGACCTCACCTCACTGGTCTATCTCAAAGGTAGTCTGCCAGTAATATGGTGATTAAAAGTTGGGGAGAGACCAGAGACTTGATGCAAGACTTCCTCTGTACTGCCCCAACTTCATTTTCCCACTAACACAGATGGGGAAATAGATAATAGGGGTGGACTTAAGTTTTCCTGATTTTTACAAAAAATAACCACTTTTGCCTTTGACAATGCAACCGTTGAATGCTGAGTGGGGGAGGGCAGATTTGATTCATGATTTTGTTCGACTAATAATTACAAAAACCATAGATTTCTACATACCTGATAAGAATTCTGGTTATTCTTTGTGCAAGATACACAGGAAAACCCAGATGCGAACATCTTATCTCTGACACCCAGTTCCTTTTCTGCTATTATTTCCTTCTTGAAACTATTGTTTTATAAGTGCCCACCAACATAAACTATCCATTTTATCTCCTATAGTTCTGTCAATTGTTCATAATGTTGTTATATAACGAGATCAATCTTCAGATTTCCTGTAGTATACAACACTGCTTGATGCTGTTATTGTAAATCTATCCTTTCCTTATACAATATTTGCAGCGACGTGATAATCAGATGATACCATTGTAATATGATACTTCATTGTATATGGCATAATTTTCATATGATAAAAAGTTATTCCAACCCATATGATCCTCGGTCCTATGGCTTAACTATCAAGGCTTCAAATAATTTTCATAATGTGGTCTTGGAATATGTAAAAACATTTTCTATGTAAAACTGTCTATAAACAAAGAAAATAATATGTCCTTAAATGAAACAAAATTATTAAAATCTTACTAATCAGTGCCACTTATATGTAAATTGATATATTCCATCATTTTCCATTATTGGCAGCCTAAGTTTGTTCTATTCAAGTCTGGGTTACCAGGCCTGTTGTCCGATATATATATTTGAAAAATAACTCCCATTCAAGCACTTTTTAAGATTATGAATAAATATGTCATTCTCTCCATGATGTCTGTAATCATCTTATTTAATCATCTTATTCTTAATCATCTTATTCTTAATCATCTTATTCATATATAAGCTCATCAGATTATATTATATTATTTATGGTTTGCAATCATCTGAACATAATATTCCAAAAACCTTTGTAACATCTATAATTAGACAGTCATCAATGTTTGACATATCTGCTATATCCATCCATGTCATCTTTCACAAAATGTATATTTGATAATACGAAAATGTTTACTTCTAGAAGTGCCAGTCAATGAATGTGATTTATGTCAATACAGTCAGCTGAAGCTGATATTAAAATATACAAATGGTGAAATAATGTGTCAAGTGCTCTCTTGCTTTGTTGTCTCTTCTACAATCCCTTTAGAAATTGCCAATTGCCAGTCAATGAAGGCAACCTTTTATTAGTCAATTATTCTTACTCTTGTGCAGTAATCTTGCTTTGTTATCCCATTGTCATTATGTTTTAATTATTCCGTGTGTGAAGATACCTGATCAGCGCAGATCAATAATCCATTGTCAGCTCTCTCCATCTCTTCAAAAGTGTTTCAAACATTTTTCATATGCTTTAATAATATCACACGCTGATATCTCTAATTATGAATCCATATGTCACTATCAGTATAAATTTTGATGAATCAGCGATATGCCAATCCCATTGTGATGAAATTGAGTTTTTATATCAAATGGAAAATTAACCGATTATTGCACATATCCATAAATTTTACTGCTTATATTTATTTAAGCCGCTCGAATGTTAAGATGACTGTGTTATCAAGTGCAGATCCATTTATCATTGTTGAAATTTTTATTTCTACACTTGCATAGTTGATTATATCCGGGATGTAGTTCTAAACATTGAGTGTTCATCCATTGTTCTATCAATTAATAAATTAAAACCATGCACCTAATGATGCACTTAATTGCACAGTGGCATTTTACTGTGACCGAGGTAAAAAGTTCACACTTCGTAAATATTTTGCCATCGTAGAAAATCTAGATTCATATATGTGAACCCATTAGGTATGGTATATACTGACATAGTATCCATCTCAGGATATATTGTGTTTTACTGCATATCATATAATGAAAATGTTTACATTCTGTTCAGGTATACAGTACATCCTTATACTGTCACAACCTACATATGCAATTTCTTCAACAGAATTCTAACTAGTAAATGCCTGTCAACAAATGTTTTAAATGAATCATCTGGAGCCTAGTAATCATTCATTGATTTTGCATCTTTTTTCCATCGTTTCAACACTTGTCAATTGTGGAATCATTCTTTGTTTGCATTAATGTAAAAGAAGTATGTTTTTACAGGTAATTAATTCAATGGTGGTCCTGTTATGAATATTTTATTGTGTTTATCTACACGCAACTGATCCCGGATTATTTTGCGAAGCTTGCAACTTCATAATTGCACAACTAACTATTCCAGTGTGTTTTACCTGCCTTTACCACTAATGCATTTCCTATGCCGTGTTCAATACTATTGTATAGCAGTCTGGCTTAATGAGAAAAAATCCATAAAAATCTCCAGGAATATGAGCAATACTATTACTGAACATGATTTGCTACTCATTCCATAGGAATTAAAATTGAATGCAATCATACAAATGTGCATGTCTGGGTTCTTCTGTTGTGAGAACAAAATTTTGAATGAAGAGGAACATCTGGTGCTTGCTAAACCACAATAATCCTTTATTTTATACAATTTATTCTGCTTGAATAGATACAAGGCTAGACACCAATGGTTGCAAAACTCAATGAAATCACATTAATTTTCCTATGTATGTGTAACTGCAATTTTGATTGAAAATTAACACTATTAGAAACACAATATCATTTGATTCATTAGAATACATCTTGTTACACACTTTACTGGGCAATCAGGAACAGGTTTGATAAATATTTAGCATATTTGTACCCTGAACTCCTATAATACTACATGTACCCTCTTATTAGAACAGACAATTTGACCATTGGTAAAATGCTGGTAAAATCTTTATGATCTTAAAGCAAAATTTCATTGCATTATATGGGAGTATAAATCAGAATTGAATGTTATAATGGTATAAGCTGCTTATATACTGTAATAAATTGAATCATCTCTCAATAAAAGAGTATAGATTGATTAAAAATCTTGCAAAGAGTATCTGCCTACTTGGTTCATTATCTCAAGATAATCATATTGCAATAGTATAATACTGTGATTATCATGAAACTTTCATGACCCCATATGCCCCTCCTTACTCACATGCTACCCTTCTCGGATCCCTTACTAGAAATGTTAATTTATCTATACATGATATCAAATATTGATTGCTTCTTTTCAAAAGAGAAAGGACTGAGAGAATGTAGCTACTGAAGTTCAAAAGAAAACCATTCTTTAAGAATATATATAATGTTACTGAAAATCCTTTCCGACAACAAACAATGTTGACTTCTTATTCTCATTTTTGGTAGTTCATATTACTGCATTGTTCAAATTATCAATATTCTATTTAAAATCGAAATACTAAGTTCCTAAAGTTTCGTCTTCCAAGCACATGTTTATTATGACGAACAACAAATCTTGTGAACATCAGCCAGAATCAATAAGCGCACGTGTCTTCATTATTGTACCAACCCCCACAGTAGTCTGTATCTCGAGGCTAAAATTGATCATGAAAAAGTCAAGTTGACTTTGGAATCGTTATTAAATAAACTCACTTCACTGAGAATTATAAACCCTTCCATAAAAGCTATGCTGAACTATCTAATAAATCTATGAAGAAAAATGAGGAATTATACGGTTGTGGTTGAAAGGCAGGAATTCCCATCTCATGAACTATTTATTATACTAGTAGGACTTCTAATTTAAAGAGATGGAAAAACAATAGGGAAACTATTCCAAAATACAATCTATTTATTATGCTCTGTGGAAATTACCTAATTTACATAATTGCATCAAATTAGCACTTCTTAGGGTGACTTCTGTTCATTATGAATTCAATGTTAATGAATTTAGTAATGACACATTTTAATCCGAAACACACACCAATTCCCTAAGCACTGAGTGACAAAGAACACACCCTTGTAACAACCTCATAATATAATTTTATACAACCAAATGTTCAGATAAAAATCAGATAAAAATATTAACTTTGAATATCGAAGCTTAATAAAAATGTCTCGATTCTGATTTCAATGGAAATTCAAAGAAGAAAATGCATAAAATCTTTAACATTGTAAAAAATACATGCGCTATGCAAGACTGGCAATTCTAATGTAACATATGCAAAATGGACACATAGATTAATCTAGTAACATCACATAATTCTGATTGATCGTTTGTCTTATATTACCATCAATAATCTGGAGTATAGATGTCTTAATGACCCCAAAGGAATACATACTATACACAGACTTGATTATTGCTTTCTAACAGTAATTAAAGAAGTTGTAATTAAAGTCAAATAATGAATGTATTATAAGATACACCTGGGTCCTTGGGACCCACATTGAAGTGTTAATGCTTTTAATACACAATTTAAAAATAGTCTTGTTACTAGGAATTAACAGAAAAAATTAGGTACACTGAAAAATGTCAACCCATCCAAAGAAACATCATTAAAAGAACAAATCTCACTAACTAGAAACTGATCAGCAAATCGGTAATACTAAACTACCAAACCCTTATATTATTTTTGAGACAAAAACTCTACATATACTGCAAAGGGTAAATTTCTCTCTCCAGATAATACTAAATTCCCATTAGCCAAATTGAAAAATGGATAACCCCACATGAGATCAACCAAGCTCACATTCTATTACTATGACAACACCAGACCTAACAGGTATTAATGAACCCAATGAGAGACAAAGGATTCTTTATCAAGCATTGAGAGAGTCGCACTTTTCGTTTAATTGAAGTTATTACAGATGTGCCAGAAATCCTATTTAATTAAAATCCAATAAATAGACATAATTTTCATGTTGCTATTCGCACATTTCTCAAACGAGACAAGAGCAGACTTAAATGATAGATGATGTCGATATCTTAAACAAAAGCTGGGAAATAAATTATTGATAGGCACAAAAAATCAAATGAAAATGTGATATTTTCCAAAATAAATTGATTAATAGATTTTGAAATGCTTTGTTCTATTTTGTCTTTTGTTTGAAAGTATGAAATGACACGTTTGCATCATGTATTTTTATTTCGTAATTATCATTAACAAAGGGAAGATATTGTATTACATAGAAAATCAAAGACTTTTATCTGCTAGAATAAGTTACTATTGAAGACAACACAATCTTGACATAAAAGATACTGCTGTCATTTAATAGCTGATTCCGTCAAAAAGATTATTTGATGAGTTTTATAAATGTAATTTCTGAGACACAAAAGCAGAGTTGTTCTTCAGTAATTAATAGGAAAAATGTATTATTCCATAGTTAGCATGATATTCATAGGATAACATGTGAAAATAAAAACGGTATTTTTGTGATCAGTGGTAAAATATGATATTTTTGACAAATTTTCACTTAACCATAGCATACGGTTTTTTAGCCATGACATACGACGTCGTATGCGATGGTTTATGGATTTTTGCTACTTCAGACTCAAAACGAGGCTAAGTGTCAACATCGCCGGATCGTTTGGAAAATTCGAATTAAATGACTTAATTTCCGACGATTCTGATGATGACTTTAACTATGGAATAAAAAGAACATCCTATGATTTACTCGTGATATGATTTTAATCCACTCATGGTTATTGATATCTGCACTCTCTCGCTACGCTCGCTCGTGCAGATATCATATCCATTCGTGGATAAAAATCATATCACTCATAAATCATAGGATATCCTCTATATATCACATTTCTAATAATTGTCAGAGAATTATTTTCACTGAACTCACTCTACTGAATGAAGCAAACTATGAATTTACCAATAATGAGTTTATCATTTGACAACTTCAGGACTGTATGTAAGTGTAATTGAATGATACAAGGAATTTAAAGCGTGAACTGGGAAAATATAGTAAAAGAATGAGGAAGATTACATGTGAAGAACAAACAACTTTCTATGTTTTTTATTCCTTATTATCAGTGTGCATCTCTTCTCTTCAAATCAAAGAGTTACTTTAAAGAAAATATTTTAAATAAAACGAAACTAGAGTTAGCGTCACCCTTACTTGGTGAATACATTATTTATTTATAGTTACTACAGATCTATAGCAGAGTGAAGTGTTCTTTAGATCATTTTTGTTTATTCTTGAGTACATTTTCATGTCATGTGATTTGCATATTAAAACGAAAGTAAGGTACACAAAACCAAAAGGCATCATTAACAACATAGCTTCTGTTGCATAATTTACTCACAGCAATGTCACATGACTTAGAATTAATAGAAAAGGATGCAAACAATAATGATAAGAATGAAACTAATAGGAACGCTGAAGCTGATGACCAAGAGCAACTCATCGATTGCTCAGAATCTGAAAGTTCTGACACATATAAAAAGAAGAAATTCAACTTTGGAAGAGCGAAAGCAATTGTAATAGGCATTGCAATTATCGTAGTGATGCTTCTTGTTACAACAGTACCTCTGATCATAAAAGGTAAGATGGCTTTAGATCATGAAACCTAGGCTGTGTTTTTGAACTGCCTGAGGCGCAAGTCAGTTGCATAATATTTAATGAGATTTCTCCCCAGGTAGATGTTTTTGTAGAAAACGTGCGACCATGTTAATCGGTCCGCAGGGCCTTTTTCATGATAATCATGGAGTAATAAGACATATAAACATTACGCAATTGACTTGAGTTGTTGCCATTCAAAAACGCAGCCCTAGTGTTAGTGTACGAGTCTAGTTATAAACTACCCTCTGTCGTCGAGTATAGACTATATTACGGTTTAGCAGCCCCACCCCAAAGATAAGTGCCTGTAACAGCCCGAGTAATAAATCATTTCAAATCTACCACGCTGACCCTCTCTCAACCAATCAGCAAAAAACGCAATTTCACCAACTGTATTCGTTTTACAGGTACAGGCAAAGACAGACAACTTTCCCAACATGGACAAATCAATGTTGCAAATGATGATAATGAAGAACAAAAAGTGACTACAGAAAATACTTTGGATTATGTGCCAACAATTCATAGAAACCTGGAACATAAAAATATAAGCTACACATCAAACGGAACAAAGGCTGACATGTGTAAAATTCATTCACATATCTTACCTAACACATGTAAACTTTGGGCCAATTGATTCAATTCAAAAATAGAAAGTTTTTGTAGACCTGTACAAGAGTGAACATTATATGCTATGCAACCATGTGTGCTGGTCATACTATCATCTAAAGCTAAAAAGAAATAGTTTAGCTAGACACAAAGCAAAATGAAACCGATTTGATAAGCTGACTTACTCAGAAACTATGAATAACATTATTTACAGTTTAGTTTTTTTTAATTTCATTTTATCTTTATCATTATAACTTTATAAAAATATCAGAATATCACATAATCTACTTAACTGTCTACTAATGTTGAATATATATCATGTAAATCAGGCATACATGTAATTACAATGCTTACATATCTTATCAAATACATGTACTGTATGTCATATAGTAATACTTTATATAAATAAATCATTCTTGTCATTTCAGTTTCTTTTTTTAACTTACGAATATATGTTTTGTATGGATGCCATTTACCTATAAGACAGAATAAAAAACGATGACAATAAATCTTTCAGTATATGAGCAGACAATATATATATAGCCATCCCCTGTTTATCTGGCAATCTTTACCAATGACATCATCTAAGTCCACCCGTATAGCTCAGTGGTAGCAAGGGTACCTCTTACGCAATAGGTCCCAGATTCGATCCCCAGTTCAGGCAAGACTTAATTTGCTTGTTTGCGTAAAATACTTCAGGGTGTTTGACTGAGTGGTCCACAACTCGTACAAAAGGCTGTGGTGTGTACTTGTATGTCTATGTATGAGTGCACATAAAAGAACACAGGACTCCTTCAAGGAGAGGTTTCTGGATCTATCTTCCAGGCCAATTACATTAATTATGACCATATATACGGAATATACCCAAGAGGGGTTTGTAGAAAAAACTGGGTACCGGGTACCGGGTAGTAAATCCTCCATGCTGGGTTCAAACCTGGTACCCGGTCGAAAAAACCGGGTACCCAAAAAACGAAAAATACGATTATATAACATATTTAGATCATTGGAAAACGTGTAAGATTTGTTTTGAATATACAAAAATGTATGTAACTTCCTTCAAAATTGAGCTAGAAGCTTCAAATAAAAAGCATTTTAAGGTTCTTTTCTTCCTCTATCATCATGGTCATATTTTCATAGGTTATGGGGTGGGGTGCGATCGCCTATGACATTGTAAGACGTAACAATTTACACTTCTACTTAAATTATGATTAATAATCAAAATCTTACACGTTGCATCATGTAAATTAACCAATTAACACACGTCACCTCTCTGCTAAAGTAACGATAGCTATTTACAGATTTAAATCATAATCAAAACTGTTCACGTACCAACATACGAACTATTGAAATTAGAGGTGACGAAAAATTTCGAACGGAATGCGTGACATATACGTGATTCGCGTGAAAAGTCCGAACGGATTGCGTACGTTTTTTTTGGTGTTCGTATTTTTGCTGTATCGGCGAACTGTTTTAGAATTTTTTATACAGAAATATTTTTGCTTGACAATTACCAGGTAAAATACGTATTTGCGTGACATTTTCTGGCGTGACTTCAAATTCTTCAGCAAATGCGTGACAAATACACAAATTGCGGGACAGTTGACAGGCCTAACCAGAACAACGGCAATGCCAAAGCGTAGCGAATCCCATCGAACAGAAATGGCTGGCATTTTTACAAACGAAGCGCTTTTTCAAAATGGCCACCTTCTACCAAAAGCGTCATTTGAAATAGACGGTGTACCATGCTTATAGTATTCACATACCAAATATGAACAAAATCGCTCACTACTTTTCGAGTTATAGTAAAATACGTTAAAATGGCGGCCATTTTTCAAAATTGTTTTCAAAATGGCCGCCTTCTACCAAAAGTGTCATAGGACAGTGTGCTATGCTTATAGTATTCACATACCAAATATGAACAAAATCGCTCTACTACTTTTCGAGTTATAGTAAAATACGTTAAAATGGTGGCCATCTTGAAAAATGGCCGCCTTCTACCAAAAGTGTCTTTAGACAGTGTGCAATGCTTATAGTATTCACACACCAAATATGAAAAAAATCGCTCCACTATTTTTTGAGTTACAGCAAAAATCGTAAAATGACGAGTAAAGGCCGCCATTTTTCAAGATGGCTGCCATGTGCTTTTTTAATATCTACATTTGTAGCATTATTAATGTCCTTCATAATTTTTTACATTTAAAACATATTGCTATTACAGTTTTACATATTGCACCTAAATTACTGTAAAATCGTCACTAAAATGGCCGCCATTTTGAAATGAGCGGCCATTTTGAAAATCGGCTTTCGAGCAGAACTTCTACTCCCATAGGGTATATGTGTACAAAATATGAACAAAATCGGGCCAACGGTATTTGAGTTATTGCCCGGACGGACGTCATTTGTTATTGCTACATTACGGACGAACGTACGTCCGTACGTACGGACGGACGGACGGAGGCGTTCCCTATATCCCTCCGAACTTCGTTCGATGGGATAATAACCGATGAAAATATGACCATGATGATAGAGGAAGAAAAGAGCCTTAAAATGCTTTTTATTTGAAGCTTCTGGCTCAATTTTGAGGGAAGTTACATACATTTTTGTATATTCAAAAAAAATTTTACACGTTTTCTAATGATCTAATTATGTTGTATATTCGTATTTTTCGTTTTTTGGGTACCAGGTTTTTTGACCGGGTACCGGGTACCAAGTATGAACCCAGCATGGAGGATTTACTACCCGGTACCCGGTTTTTTCTACAAACCCTACCCAAGAGGTATTGCTCATCTTCATTGGTGGTAAACAAAATACAATCACAGTGTTACATTTTGTCATACGTACCTTGAAAAGTGTGTCGGACCTTCCAGTACATGTGCATCCCAATCCTAGCATGATTGTAGCTGACGACATATGTGAAACAATACTTATTGGACAATCACTGATAAATATCCAGGAACAACATTCAACTTAACCTAAGTCTTCATAAATCTTGTTCTCATCCACATTCACTGATTAGATGACCATGTGTAACATGTTTTTAATCCAGAGATTAAATGGTAGACTAATATCCCCTTATATCCTTGTCCTTATACTCTCTGTGTTATGCTTACTGTATCCTTCAACTCAGTATTTATAAATTGTGGTCCAGTCGTTTCCAAACCACTTCAAAATTCATTTATCTTTTTCTAAGTAGCCCAAAGTAAGTAAAGATGTTTTTCCAGTGGACAGGTCGTGTGAGTCACAGCATGAATTCATAAACATTCAAATTCACTGAATATTAGGAATAAAACAGGTCGGATAAAACACATACTGTGATGAGTTCATCAAATCGTGCTAATGACCAACCAGTACTGTGTATGTAGGCTATGGCCAAACCTTCAGGTATTAATTATCCCTGTGTAATATCATCAATCCAACTTGGGCTGTGTATCTATACTTATCCATTCATTTGGGAGGTTTGTTCAAGTGAAATATTGTTAATCGGATGAGGTTCGACTAGGTCAAATAAACCTATCTGTGAACCTAGTTCTTCAAGCTGGTAGCAATAGACATGCCTTGATTTCTCATGAAATTCCAACTATCCCTTCTGTTTGTTTCATCAAACAGACTTTTCAATATCTTCATTCTCAACAACTCAGTCTTGATACCATTCCTTTCCTTGCATTAAGTCGACATTGCAATTAGTATTTATTGCAGTGTAATTATAGCCATAATTACAGGTGTAACCCAGATGTAATAATCCTATACGCGCTAACTTTTAACTTACGAAATATTCTTATCTCCGCGTTGAAGAGTTCAGTTTCGTGGTACAACTTTCTCAACATCCGGGCACTTTCCCATTGGAATAACATTGGCGGTGATTTTCAATGACGCATTGGGACTTTATTAGATGTTTATCATAACTTTTATTTGCACATACGATAGATATGATCATTATAAAGACATTTGACAAGTTTTTAAAAAATATATTCACCAGAACCGTCAAAATCATAAGTTGAAAATTCCAGTGACGTCACAGATTTCCCGGAAGTTGCTCAGTTCCCGGAACTTGCTCAGACGCCATTGAAAATAATTATCGAAGCAAATTGAATTTCCATCTTCTTTTCTACTTATTGTCTGGATTATAGAATATTATTATACATATGTACTAATGTTGGATCGGGATAATGCCAGTGAAGCACTGCGCGGCTGGAAATTGCACAAGCGATAGCAGAAAACTCAAAAACTTGGAAAAGCATCCATGGATGAAAAACATTTTATTTTTTGAATTTCCAAAAAATGAGGATAAACAAATTTGGATATCAAAGACAAAACGGGTAGACCCCAAGGACAATAGAAAACCATGGACCCCTCCGCCACACGCTGTTCTGTGTTCAAGACATTTTGTAGACTCAAAACCAACTGATTCCAACCCCCACCCTACACTTTTTGATTATAATGGCTACCAGATAGATAGGCCCAGGACTCTGAGCAGTAGAAATGCTCAAGATGTTTCACTCCGATCAGGTGTCAAGAGGAAAAGTTTGACTGAAATGTACAATACAAGAAAGGGTTTCAAACCAGGCCTTTCAAATGTCATTGAGCTTGATAGTGATGGTGATTCCAATGTTGCGACGAGTGAAGTGACTGAAGTCATTGTTGATGTAAGTAGACAAATCATTCAGCCTGGACCACCCTTGTTAGTAAAGGAACATGTGAAATCTCAATAAATAATCAATTTTTTATGTTGTCACTTGTACGACCCAGTAATTTGAACAAGAAAACTCAAATCATCGATACATCATTCATTCATTTAGGCATTAAGGCTATGTCTTCCTTATATGGATTGCCAAAACTTAGCTGTGAAATATTGCATCATTCTTGACTTATGGATATTCCCTAGTTTTATATCATTTTTAGGTTGCAGCAAAATGTGAGTGCCAAGCATGTTAAATTAAATGTTTGTATTTGTGTTATTGTAGGACCAGATACCGATTGGTGCAAATGAAGAGATAGCAGAACAAGCATCAAAACCTGACAAACCTATCAACTGTGGAGCTGTGTTTGAGATTCACAAAATACCAAGCAAGGAACACAACTATGCATATATGGACAGTTCTCATATGCAAATTAAGGGCCCAACAAATGATATTGCAACGCAGACAGACTGCGATTCGATACGATTCGATGAGATGTTTAGCGCTTATGAGAGGTTGCAGGACAAGAATCAACTGAGGAGGGACCTCTTTCTTGAAAAAGTCCTGGAAAATGACAAAAGCATCAAAAGATACACAGGAGTCCCAGGCAATGAAGTATTACTTGGACTATTTGAATTGATTTCAAAATCAACTAATAACTTTAAGAATATCTTCTACTGGAAAGGTGGCAAGAACACTAAGCAAGAGAACTTTGGTAAGACCCACAAGACACGAAAGAGAATTTTAACGCACTTTGAAGAATTCATACTGACTTTAGTTCGTTTCCGCCTGGGACTGCT